GCTTAGGAACAGCACTGGACGTTGCTCTCCCCCAGTTTCCTGCAGAAGCACTGCTCCAATGCCAACACCTGAAGCATCAGTCTGCAGTGTAAATGGCTTTGAAAAGTCTGGACTGTAGAGGACTGAATCACCTGTGATTGCACTCTTGAGATCTCTAAATGCTTGATCACACTCCTCACTCCATTTCACCTTGTTTGGGGCAGAGTTCTTGGTGAGGTCAGTGAGCACTGCTGCCCTCTCTGAAAAGTTGGGAATGAACTTGCTGTACCAGCCAATCAACCCCATAAAGGAACGCACCTTCCTCTTGGTGGTGGGCACAGGATACAAGTGGATAGCATCCACTTTCCCCACTCGAGGTTTCACAACACCCTGGCCAACCACATGACCGAGGTACTCAACCTGACCCTGCGCAAACGCACATTTGCGTGGATTGATTGTTAGCCCAGCCTTTTTTATCAACTGGAGGACCTTGCGAAGGTGAGCCATGTGTTCCTTCCATGTCTGGCTGAAAATGACTATGTCATCCAAGTACGCGGCTGCAAACTCTGGCACCTCCCTCAGCAAGTGGTCCATGAGTCGTTGAAATGTAGCTGGCGCCCCCTGGAGACCAAACGGCATTACATTGAAATGAAACATTCCAAATGGTGTTTTAAATGCTGTCAGCTCCTTGGTCTCATTTGCCAGAGCCAGCTGCCAATATCCTTTGCTTAGATCAAGTGTCGTGATGAATGTGGACCTACCAACCCTTTCCAGCAACTCATCAATTCGGGGCATTGGGTAGGACTCAAATTTAGACACAGCATTCAGGTATCTGAAGTCAATGCAGAATCTCAGTGAACCATCTTTCTTAGGGACCAGAACAACCGGACTGCACCACTCACTAGTCGAGGTCTCAATGATGCCCAGCTGCAACATCAGCTCAATTTCCTTTTTAAGCTCTGGCACCAAACATTCGGGAATCCTGTAAGATTTCCGGCGGGGAGTTGCGTCTTCCCTCAGGTGGACCTGGTGCTGTACCAGAGTTGTGAAACCAGGCGTTTCTTGGAAAAGCTCTGGATCCATCATTACACTTATCTCCCTCTGCTGGTCAGGCTGGAGATGAGACACATCAACGGTACCGGGCATCGAGACACTGGTGGGAAAAGAGGGCACAATATCCTCTCCTTGGTCCATGGCACGGATGAGAAGCTGCTGTTGAACAGGCTGATGGCTTGGTGGTGAAGGCTCCTGAAACTCCTTCAGCAGGTTTACATGAAACGACTGATGTTTCTTCCCTTTGTCATGCATATACAGTTAATAGGTTACCTTACCAAGGCGCTTAGTGATTTGATAAGGCCCCTGCCATTTTGCCAGCAGCTTACAGTCACTTGTTGGGAGCAACAGCAACACCTGCTGGCCTGGTAGAAATGTTCTGTCCCTTGCTTTCTTGTCATACCAGGTCTTCTGGTTTGCCTGTGCTGATCTCATGTGTTCCTGTGCTAGTGCCGTCATCTGCTCAAGCCTCTCTCGCATCTTGACCACATAAGCCACCACATTGTCCTGATCTGCCTTCGGGTTCTCCCAATGCTCTCTCAGCAGGTCCAACGGCCCCCTCACCTGGTGGCCATAGAGCAGTTCAACGGGTGAAAATCCTGTTGATGCTTGCGGCACCTCCCGGTACGCAAACAGCAAGTATGGCAGCCACTGGTCCCAATCAGAGCCTGTGTGTGACACAAACTTTCGCAGCATGTTCTTGAGTGTCTGATTGAATCTCTCAACTAACCCGTCCGTCTGGGGATGGTAAGGGGTGGTCTTAATTCCCTTCACTCCTAACAACTGATATACCTGCTGCAATAATTTAGACAGGAAGTTGGTGCCACAGTCAGTTAAGATTTCTTTAGGGACGCCTACTCTGGAGAATAGCTGCAATAGGCAATTAGCAACATGTTTGGCCTTAATTGATCTGAGGGGAAAGGCTTCTGGGTAACGGGTGGCATAATCACAAATTACCAGGATGAAACGATGGCCCGTGGAACTTCTCTCAAGGGGTCCCACAATGTCCATGCCTATCCTGTGGAACGGGGTTTCTATGATGGGCAATGGCTGTAGCTGGGCACAGGCTACTCCCCTTGGTGAAGACAGCTGACATACCTCACACGATGCACAAAACCCCTTAACCTGGGTGTAAATACCCGGCCAAACAAATCTCCTAGCTATCCTGCTGAGGGATTTCTGGAATGCTAGGTGGCCTGCCCAGGGGATAGAGTAACCTAGCTCCATAACTTTCTGCCTCAGGCCCTGTGGCAATGCTAGGGCTTCCTCTTTTTCCTCACGTTCGTAAAGAATACCCCTCTTAATGACATAGCTGAACTCTGCTATACCGTCTGCCTTACCCAGTTTTTCACCCTCAACCTCTGAGACCTTGTCTAACCAGGGTTTTAGCGTTGGATCAGCCCTCTGCATTGCTGCTATATCTGGGGGAATACGTAAATCTACGGGCTGTAAAGGCTGGCTGGGCCTAGTTTCTTCCTGACCCTGTTCCCTGGCCGTAGCCAGAAACTTTTCCCTTCTTCTCTGTACTCGGGACTTTGGCTGTTTAACTGGCCCCGTCTTTAACTCAGCATTGTAAAAAGGTAACTCCTCAAGCGTATTTGTCTCTTTACGTGCCCTAGTCACCACCATGTTACATGCTTTTGCTGACACCTGGGGCTCTAACTGTTGCAGCTGATCCAACTTCTGGGCAGGAACCTCAACCCCCGCCTCTACAGGTCTGGGAATCCCTCTGTTAGCCTTAGCCTTATCTACCAAGTCAAGCAGTGTGGGGACATCATGGCCAAGGATAACTGGGTATGGTAGTTAAGGCACTAAAGCTACTGGGAGGAGGTAAGTCTGACCCCCTACGGCAGTGGTTCTCAAAGTGGGGGGCGCAGAGGCATGCCAGGGGGGGCGCGAGAGACCAGGAGGAAAAATGGTTACAAAAAAAAAAGATTAAAAAAAAAAATAAATAAAAAAAAAAAAATCATAATTAAAAAAATTATTGATTCGAAAATAATATGATGCGGTACAGTATTATTACGTGTTGAGAGATGTATCCATAGATCTCTTCATTTTGCTCTCAAAGTGCACCAGATTGATGCATTTAACTTCAATATTTAAAAATGAAATCTTCCCGGGGGAGCTTGCCCCCGGACCCCCCTATGTGAGATCCACACACCACCTATAAAAATAGCACTTTACCCCTGCTAAGCTGATTATCAAGCCTTCATTGTAACAGTCGCGGGTACACTGTGTATATGCGTGGGGAATGTTGCAGTAGAAAATTCCACTGTAGCGACCGGTACATTAATGGGAAACCCTAAATGTTTGAGCTACTGAGCCTGACTATTTGTGTTGGGGGGGCCCGACTTTTTTTTTTCTCCAAAAAGTTTGAGAACCACTGCCCTACGGTAAGATAAACTTCAGCTGTGGGGTACAACTTTTCATCACCGTGGACACAACTAATGTTACACTTTTTCTCACTCTACCTTTCTCTAGGCACTATGCTAGCCAAAACCACCGTCTGAAAGCTACCAGAGTCTAAGAGTGCCTCTTCACGCCGACCATTTACTAACACTGGGGCAGTGAGTGCATCAGCCTTACCAGGGGCAGGGTGGGTGGGTCTGGGAACTACACACAACAGGGCTGGCTTGCTCTGTCTGGTTGTTGGGCAAGTATGCTGAGTGTGACCTAAACCGTTACACTGATAGCAGCGTGTGTCTGCGCTGGGAAACGACTTTGAGCTAGGTCTAGTGAAAGATGACTGATTATTCTGAGGCCTATTCTCATTTTGACCACCCCATTCACCCCCATTGGATTTACTGCGTGCAGCGAAGTATGCCTCGCGGCCGAAGGTGGTTCTTTTAGTCCCAGTTCTGGCTGACAGGAAAACCTCTGTTAGTCTGGCGGCGTCCTCAGCAGACTGCGGGTCTCTCTCTCGGATCCAGATCTAGCTCCGGGTCCACCATTCTCAAGAACTGCTCCAGTATCATCAACTCAGATATACTTTTAACATCGGATCGCCCTGGTTTGACCCATTTGTAAAAACTTCTTTTAACCGTACATAGAGTTCACGTGGAGTTTCCCCCCGATATATTTCCAATGACCAAAACCTTCTTCTGTAGGTATCAGCTGTGATCTCATATTTAGCCAAAATAGCTTCTTTTACCTTTTCGTATTCTACTGAGTCTGTGATGTCCATGAAAACAAAGGCACTGCGTGCTTTACCTGTGAGCAGTGGCACAATCTGAATTGCCCAATCTTCTTTCGGCCATAGGCAGACAGTGGCCATTCTTTCAAACGTTGTCATAAAGTGCTCAATATCATCTTCAGGAGTGAGTGGCATTAACTTGGGGTCTCTACGGAAGTGTGGTGCTCTTCTCCCCAATGGCGGCTCATTCCGCAGGTCGGATCGGTCTGCTCGTAACCTGAGCTCCTCCCCGTCGTCCTCATCATCATAATCCTCCTCATCATGGCGACGGCGCTCAGTTCTGTTTTCCGATTCTTCTTTTAATTCTGTCACCTGGCCTTGTATTTTTTGAAACTCTAGGTGCATGTTCCTCCATCTCTGCTCTTGGTGCACAGACTCTTTCTCCCATTGCTGATCTCTGGATGTATTGAAACAGACAAGAGACTTCACCATGTTTGTCAATTCCTCCAGTTGCTCAGGAGTTTTGTCTGCTGTCGCCCCTTGCTGGACCGGTGCACCGTCATCTGGCTCCATCTGTTTCTCTGACTTCTTTCTTCCTCCGGGCATCTTTGTCTTTCCTCAAAGTGTTTGTTAGGCCTTTGCTTCTGACACCACTGTGACCGGGTAATCTTGCACATGTGGGTTTGCACAGTGCAAACTGTTCACTAAAGTGCTGAGGGACATTTGTCCTGTGCAAACCCACATGTGCAATATTACCCGGCCCGAAGTCATCAGTCCATAGTGACGAAGTTACCTTCGTCACATTTCCTTCCCCCTTTCCCCAGGAAGCAGTGTCCTAACCGTTTTGGCTTCGGGACAACCAGTCAGCTACCAGGTTTGACTTCCCCGGCCGGTACCTGACCGTAAAGTTATACGGCTGCAAGGCAAGGTACCACCCCGCGATACGCATGTTTGCGTCCTTCATCTTGTGAAGCCATTGAAGTGCACGATGGTCTGTCTCCAGTATGAACTGCCGTCCGAGAAGGTAGTACCTCAGGGAGTCGATGGCCCACTTAATCGCCAGGCACTCCTTTTCAATGGTTGAGTACCTTGTCTCCCTGTCCAACAGCTTCCGACTGAGGAAAACCACTGGTTTCAGCTTCCCATCCACTTCCTGCAGCAATACCGCTCCAAGGCCTACCCCTGAGGCATCTGTCTGAACGGTGAATAGCTGATTAAAGTCTGGTGAGTGAAGGACTGACTCAGTGGTAATGGCTTGCTTCAGGTCCTTGAAAGCTCTGTCACAGTCCTCGTTCCAGCGGACTTTGGCTGGCACCGAGGCCTTGGTGAGGTTGGTCAACACAACTGCTCTTTCTGACAGCTGAGGGATGAACTTCCGATACCAATTGACTAACCCCAAGAAAGACTTTACCTTCTTCTTTGTAGTTGGCACGGGGTAGGAGGTAATCGCTTCGATCTTACTCAGCTGTGGGCGGATGACACCTCCCCCAATGACGTAGCCCAGGTACTCCGCCTCTTCCTTGGCAAAGGCGCATTTACGGGGGTTGATGGTCAGTCCAGCAGCTTGGATCGCATGGAGGACCTGTTGTAGGTGATCCCTGTGTTCTTCCCATGTTTGGCTGAAGATCACAACATCGTCCAAGTAAGCTGCGGAAAATGTTGCAAACTCCCGCAGTACTTGGTCCATGAGCCTCTGGAAGGTCGCAGGGGCACCACCCGGAACTGGAACAGTCCAAAGAAGAGAGGGCTTACTCTGCCTAGCCACTGGGCAGGTGGGTCGTGTGTGGCCAACCTCATTACAATGGTAGCACCTTACTTCTGGCTGAACTTGCCTCTTAGCATAGGTCATTCGACTTGGCGTGGTTTGCTTGCCGCTGCTATTGCTACCATAGGTGTAACCACTACCCTTTTCACCCCCATAAGCATTACTTTTGCCCGACGGGTATCGGTTCTGGCAGTTCGCAAAGCTTTTGCTTTCTGTCCTTGCTGAATGAAATACTTCAGCGAGGCGGGACGCTTCCTCCGCCGACTTAGGATCATGTTCCGGGATCCAAACTTCCATCTCTGGGTTCACCATGCGGAGGAACTGTTCAAGGATGAGTATCTCACAAATGTCTTTGATGCTGGACGTCTCAAACCTAACCCACTTGCAGAAGAGGTCCTTCAGTCGGACGTACAGCTCACGTGGGGTCTCGTCCTGTTGGATGTCGAGGGCACGAAACCTCCGTCTATAGGTGTCAGCGGTGATCTCATATTTGGCTAGGATTGCTGCTTTGACTTGCTCGTAGTCCTCAGAGTCTCTAATGTCCATTAGCATGTACGCACTGCGTGCTTTACCAGTCAGCAGGGGAACCAATCGGACAGCCCACTCTTCTTGGTCCCAACGACAGACCTGGGCCATGTGTTCGAAGGTGGTGAGGAACTGTTCAATGTCGTCATCTGGCCCCAGTGGCCACAACTTTGGCTCGCGGTGAAGCGGTTGTTCTCTCTGACGTCTTGGCGACCTTCGCCTGGATGAAGACGTCTGCTCCAGATCATCACCGAAGTCCCCTCTTCTTCTGGGCCGCTCCTCATCACTGCCTTGCTCTGTTGGCGGCCCCGCTCTCATCTCAGATAGCTGGGCTTGAAGCCTTTGCCAGTTTGTCTCCTGCTACTTCTGAGACTGCATGAGTGCTTTCATCATCTCAGACAGCTCCTCAAACCTGTCCCTTGGTTCACCAGCCGTGGCCCCCTGGTCAACTCCATGCGTAGCCACCCCGTCATCGGGCACCTCCATTTGGTCGGGTTTTTTCCCCACTCGGCATTTCCAACTCCTTACTTGGTAAATCCCACTTCTGACACCACTTGTGATGGCTGACACGTGAGCGGCCCGACCAAGTAAGGAGACAGAGGCAGAACGTTTTGATACAACCCGGTGTGGGTATTTATTCATCTTTGGTCCATGGTTGACCACATCAAATCCCCCAATGACTGTCTCCCACACTATTCTCTCCCAAATGAGCCCAACATTCCACCCTTTATAGCCCCACCCATTGGACCGTACCATCCAAAAGGGGTGGCATGTGCAGAGATGGTCAGCTCAGATAAGGACCGTAGTTAGTCACAATAAACATTTAGTGGAGAATGACAACATCCTTTACTTACATTATATTTAATTACTGTATGCAAAGAAAAACCGTTATAAACTAACAAGCCAAATGTACATGATAACAAATCACCCCCACCTCCAACCTGCTCCTTTAATCCCATCCGGAACAATAAAAAGGATCCGCTGTTTCCCCAGGGACCCTTTACGATGACGGACCTTGGGACCAGAGACGGGAGAGCAGGCGGAGGTGAGTGTTATGATGTTGACTGTTATAGGAGTAACTTGTACCATTAATGCACCTTATATCATGACTTTTACACGCTAAACATATCCTTTGCACATAATCTCAACCGCTGTCAATCTACACAAACCAACACTTTGGCGCTCTCGCTATAACTCCCCTTTCTTTCCAGGTGGAGCCGAGAGCCTGACCAGCGTCTGCCAGACAACATCACAATTTAATACGGTTGAATCATTTAATACACACTACATCAATAAATAGTATAAAATGTGCAAATAGGCAATGTTTAACTGTACTGTGCAACTCCCGCTAATAAAGTGCAAACTGTTCACTAAAGTGCTGAGTGACATTTGTCCTGTGCAAACCCACATGTGCAAGATTACCCGGCCCGAAGCCTTCAGTCCATAGTGACGAAGTTACCTTCGTCACACAGCTCATACCAGAAACCGGTGTTTTAATAAGCACACAGGCACTACGCCATATTCAGCACTGACAGGGAAAAAGTGTAACATAGCTAGGATGCATACGTTTGGAGCAGTGTGCTATGCGTACCAGCAGGGCAGGGGAAATTTAGACACTAGGTGTGAGAAAGGACATTTTGTAGGGCATGACAAGGGAAGCCCTGCCTATCTAGTTTACTACCCCGACAAAGAGAAGGTGCAGAAGCACAGACTAGCAAAGTTTATCACCAGCACAACTTGAACGTGATAGCGAGACTCAGACATAGTGGCTAGAACAGGATTCGGAGGAAAACTGTGAAGAGGGAGTAAAGGCCCCACAGCCTAGTGTACTGAGCAAAGATGTACAAACTAACGCTCCACAGTCAGCACCAGAGGATGATGGCGAACAGCACCCTAGGGTGGCGTCACATGCCTCAGACAGTGGGAGATATCCCAGTAGGGAGCGCAAACCCCCAGTACTTGAGAGATTATACTCAGGAAGATAGTGATGAAGATGATAAAACACTCACTAGTATAGATTATTGTTACAGAGCAGTTTGCGGTGTACCTCTGACCTTTAAAGAGGCCATGACATCGACTGAGTCATAAAACTGGGGAAAAGCGATGGATGAGGAAATTAAGTCTCTAGAAGAGAATCAGACTTTTACCCTGACAAAATTGCCGAGGGCAGGAAAACAGTCGGAGGTAAATGGGTCTATTCAGTTAAGAGAGACGTTGACGGACACGACAAATACAAAGCTAGGTTCGTAGCAGAAGGATACAGTCAGAGGGCGGGGATAGATTACGGGGAGACGTTCTCACCTACAGCAAACCTGGCAAGTGTACGTGTATTAATGCAGAAGGCAGCCCAAGAGGATTTGATTTTACACCAGATGGATGTAAAGACAGCCTACCTGCATGCACCCATCGATCACGACATTTACATGAAAAAACCTGAGGGTTATGTAAAGGAGGGAGAAAAGCTAGTGTGTAAACTAGAGAAGTCAATTTACGGCCTGAAGCAGTCAGGGCGAAATTGGAATACGATGTTGCATGAATGCTTAACAGATGACAATTTTACACAGAACCCGGCAGACCACTGCGTGTACTCCAAGGAGTTTAAAGAGGGGAAGTAATAATTGCTATCTGGGTCGATGATCTTATCATCGCAGCCAGCAACACCAAGATTTTAGAGAAAGTGAAGAACATGCTTTCCACAAAATTTAAAATAAAGAGATATGTGGAAAAGATACTGGAACGTTTTGACATGCAGGAGTGTAGGGTAAGTGAGACACCTTGTGACCAAAAGTTAGACTACAGATGAAATGGTTGCAGATGTGATGACCAAGCCTGTATCCAAACGGAAACTGAGGAAATTTGAAGGGATCATGTTTGGTGTGTAAAATGTGTTGAAAAAGTACACATTTGGGGTGTCAAATGTGTTGAAGAAGCCCACATTTAAATCATTTGTACCATGTTTTGCTTTGGTAATTAAATATGAACAGGTAAACAGTAATTACATAATTCATAAGTGGGAGTGTTGAGATGTAACATACAGACATGTATAGTGTAGTGTTGCACGGTGTACCGATACTTGAAATGTACCGCGATACCCTGCCGTTAAAAAACGTTACGATTCCTCCTTTTCATTAGTATCGGTACTTTAAGAATGACGGGGAAAAGTAAAAAAAAGCTTGGAGCTGGGCGTGTCTGAAGCTTGGGGATGTTATTCAAGCAACACGACCAACAACCAATCACATGAATCTCCCGCCCCCGACATACAAAGCAAAAACCCCCGGGGATTTTATGGGAGCAATATATATATATATATATAAACTCCCCAAACAGGCGAAAACCTACCAGTTTCACCCACTGTCTCTGCCACCTCCCTCCATGCCTGGTTCCTCCGGTTTGTATCCGGGTAGGTGAAGAGGGTCTGGTCATACAAAACCGGGTGATTCGCTACGGCGATAATTAGTTTCTCCTCCATCTTTTTTTGAAATATAGAAATGAACGGCGGGATATCTCTCCCAGCTTAGACGCGGTTTGATTGGCTACGGCTTGATCTGTCAGATTTTCCGAAACGGGATTTGATTGGCTGGCGCTGGCTACTCTGGCGTCAGAAGTTGAACATTGTTCAACTTCTGTCGCCTGAGACGCCGGAGACGGACCGCTCTGCTACCCACAATTCAGTTCGGCGAAAAAAAGCGGCAACGTGACGTCACCCCATTCAAAGTGAATGGGCAGATTGAAGCTCTCGACGCTGCAGACGCTGTAGTGTGGACGGGCCGTGAGGGCAAGCCTACGGACACCACGAGGCCTGTCTGTAAGACATGTTTTAGATCCCTGCGAACCAAGGGAGCCAACACATCAAACTTGGCTAAGCACCTCGCCGACCGGCATCCAGATCTGATTAAAGAATTTAAAGACAGACAGGTTAGCGAATGTGATAGATAACATAATTACATCAAGCCCATGCCCTCAAATCTAAGTCAAACAAGTGTAATTTATTTTGTGACAAACAAAGGTTTCTTAGTTTGACGAGGCAATTAATGGCATTGATAACTGTCTAATATGGCTATCATTTTAGCTAACTTACCAATGTGGCTAACATCTGCAATGTACATTTGGTCAATAATTATTTATATTACTGTACTATTACATGTTAATAAAATATAAAGTTAACTATCAAAGAAATCACATAAACTCAAGTATAAAGAAGAGACCATGTTGTAAGAAAACACTTTAACAGATAAACTACAATTTTATTGATCATAAAAATAATAAAAGTAAATGTAGCAGTGGCCGCATAATAAATATATTAATTTAACAGTTTGGTTAAACCACTAAGTCCGACAACGCCACCCCGGGAATTTCACCCAGGGAAATGTGACAAGTTTTAAGTCACTAGGACACACAGGTTCGGTTACTCATGGAACAAGAGACGTGGTTCAATTATCAAAAATAGAACAGTTTATTTGTATACAATAGTAAAAATACAATTTATAAAAACAGTCACACAGGGCTATATCCAAAAGGAAGAACGAACAAGGGGGCTGAGGCTTACCAGTGGGGGTCAACGAATGAGTAGAGGGATCCCACAAAAACAAACTTAAGTTACCCCGGTCACACGTGTTCCACACTCTCACCATCACACGGAGAAAAGATCCAAAAACCCGGGGGAAGCACAGCACACGGAAAGGGGGAAGCCACCACCTCGGACACCAATACCACCACCTTCAGCTCTCAGTAACTAAAACAGGAAAACAAGGGAAAACACAATAAGTGGGGGACAAAAACACAGAATGACTCAAAATGAAATAAACCAAAATAAGCCGCAATCATGCGGCATAAACAAAACTATGCAAAAAGCAAAGAAAGAAAACCTAAACCAAAACCATTATCATATAAACAAACAATGATTTGACCAAAGATATATCGACACTAATTAAGTATAAAATAAGCCAAAAGAAAAGAAAGAAAATAACAAAAGAAAATAGGAATAAACAAAAATAAACTATTAATGAAAAGGAACAAAGTAAACAAAATAGTTGAAATTGGTGAAGGACAGAATAACTAAACAGAAGGAGTTAGCCCAGCAGTCCAGTCACTAAAATACCACTAGGGGAGCGGACCTCTAGTACAGAGTAGGCCACGCTAAACCGGCCCAACCACAGTAGCCAAAAGCGAACAATCTAAGTAGTGTCCAGCAGCACAGGATCGGTAGGGCAGGTGATCATACTGCCGTAGGCAATGCCAAACCGGACCAGACACGATAGCCAGACGCAGACAATCAACTAGCACTTAGCAGCACACATGATCAGCAGTACGGGTGATGACCCTGCGCCAGAAACCCGTCTCTTTTCGGTGCAGCAAAACAGCAGCGGTTCTTTAAAGCCTTAGCTTGGCCCTAGATTAACAACAAACACACAAGTATAATATTAATGTTCAGGAAAGATGTGGTGAATGGTCTGAACAAATCGCCGTACATACCGATCAGGCAGAGAGGAGAGTTTCATGCTCTCTATGTTACGGCTACTTGACGGGCATCGCCAGGAAGACCCTCCGCTATACTATACAAAACAAAACGTGACTACACGTAAGTATGATAAATTGCGAAACTTTACCTGAAGCCAACTATTCTCCTACAACATACCTACGCCGGTGGCGGAAGCAAAACACGGCAAGAACGGAAGTGGGTTGGTCTGGGCACCAGCGAACAAGAGGCCGCCAGCTAGAAGCCTCTGCTCCTTTATAGGGTGCCCCCTGGTGGTGATAGGCTAAAAATAATATGCCTTACAACACTATTTAATGCTCATCCTGCCACAATCTACCCCCCCCATTTTCATCGTCGCCCCGACGATGTACAAATCAAGCCCAGGTTAGCTAACCTCGGCCCAAGGTCTAAAGATGACAGACACCGAGTTAGACACCAGACCAGGAGAGTTTTCAGCCACAGGCGCCAATTCTCCCAACGCTCTCGGGAGATGATGGACATTAGGATGCTGCCCAGCGGTTAACCGTGGTGTCCGTCGCAAGGTCACTGCGCTAGATTCGGGGCAAGTGGATGGAGGGATAGCCAAGCGAGGGGAAGGCAATTCTGGCATGGCAGCGAGAGCTACCGAAGGACCGGCCTCAATGGAGGCTTCGTCAGATGGTGGAGGCAGCCACCAAGGGGTTTATGGGGTCACCACAGCTGATCTGGTAGAAGGAGGATTCGGAGCTTCATTTCTTGAAACCCACAGGTCACCATCAAAGGAAAGCTCATCATCTGACTGTGGTGAGTCAGGAGGAATTGAGAGAGGGACAGGGACATCATCTGGAGACCATCTGGAGTGTGTGCCAATCACAGCTTTCAACAAAGTGCGGTGGACCCGTTTGGTTTTGGTCAGGTCGTTTGCAGGTACAATCGTGTACACCGAACCGCCGTTTGGTGCTTTCACCACTATATACCTGACAGAACTCCAAATATCCCTGATCTTATGGCGCCCTCTTGCACCACAATCTCGCAACCAGACTAACTGGCCCTCGTTCAATGGGACATCTTTGACATACTGGTCATGGCACCTCTTTCTGCGCTCTGCTGCAGTTTTTAACCTCTCTTGAGCTCCTTCAAAGGCAATTTGCAATTTTGCCTGATGCTCCTGAATCCACTCATGGACTGGACCACCGACTGGATCAGGGACTCTACCCAACAGAAAATCAACTGAGAGCCTTGGCTCTTGTCCAAACATCAACAAGAATGGAGATTCACCAGTTGACTGATGGGGAGTAGTGTTGTACGAATACAGTAGTTGTGGCAAGCAAGAGTTCCAATCCCGTTTCCGAGACACAGGCAGAGTACGCAGCAAGTTGTGAAGGGTTCGGTTGAACCGTTCACATTGACCATTGCTTGCCGGATGGTAGGGAGTAGTGCGAGATTTTTCGATGTTATAGAGGCTGCAAAGTTGTTGGATAAGAATGCTCTCAAAGTTTCGGCCTTGGTCTGAATGTATACGGGCTGGGACACCAAACTTTGAAAACCATTCTGTAACCAGAACTTGAGCCACAGTGGAGGCTCGTTGGTCGCGGGGTGGCAAAGGCCAAAGTGTACTTGCTAAAAATGTCTGTAATTACAAGGACATTTTCCAACCTACTATAGGTGGGCTCCAAGACAGTGAAGTCAATGGCTAGAATTTCATTGGGTCTAGAAGCCAGCAAGTGTCCCATGGGAGCACGAGCCGCTGGTCGAGTGTCCTTGGCAATTTGACACCTCTCACAACTGCTGCACCAATGTACCACCTCGGAGGACATACCTGGCCAGTAACACCGCTGCCTAAGTAGCTCCAAGGTTCTTTCAATACCTTGGTGGCCATGCCTCTGGTGGACTTCGGTGAACACCTGCTCTCTCAAAGCAGCTGGCAAAAGCAGCTGCAGAAATGCTTCAGCCCCATCAAAGCGAAAGATCTGGCGATAGAGGACCCCACTCCTCTCAACTAACCGGTCCCATTGGGGGAGCAGTGCCAATGCTTGCCGGGACAACTGCTTCCTCTCATCATTGCTTGGACGCTGCCTCCTTCTCCAGAACACCAAGAGTTCCTGAAGGACGGGGTCGGCTTGCTGAAGTGCCTCCATATCAGACTGTGTATGATGAGGCAAGGCTATGACAGCTGCTTGGGTTGCCTGTGCTACTGGCAAGGCTTGCCGTAAAGGCAAGGGGAGCGAGGTGCTAGGGAGCATAGCTTCAAGATCTTGCACCCCTGGTGGGTGCTGACGGGACAGGGCATCAGCATTTCCATTACTTCTACCAGAGCGGTACTTAATCTCAAAGTCGAAAGACGCAAGTTGGGCTGCCCAACGTTGTTCAGTGGCTCCAAGCTTTGCCGTGGACAGGTGGCTAAGGGGATTGTTGTCAGTGAAGACAACACATTTATGACCAAGCAGATATTCCCTAAATTTCTCAGTCATGGCCCACTTGAGCCCCAAGAACTCCAGCCTCATAGAGCTGTAGTTGGCAGAATTGCGTTCCGTGGGCCTCAGACCTCTGCTGGCATAAGCTATGGGCCTGACCTTACCACCTTGCTCCTGTGATAGCACAGCTCCGAGGCCACCAAAGCTTGCGTCGACCTCCAGAATGAATGGGAGGGAGAAGTCGGCATAGGCAAGCACAGGTGCCGTGGTGAGCTTTGTCTTGAGAGCCTCAAAGCTCCTATGACACCCCTCAGTCCAGTTCCCAGCAATTTCACGCTCTGATCTCCTTTTGGACTTGGTGCCTCCCAACTCAGCCACCAACGTATGTAGAGGGGCCGCCAATTTGGCAAAGCCCTCCACAAACCTACGGTAGTAACTGGCAAAACCAAGGAACGACCGCAGTCCAGAGATGGTAGTGGGGGGCTGCCAACTGGCTACCACCTCCTGTTTGCTGGGATCAGTAGAGACACCCTGGTCAGAAATCACATGGCCCAGGTAACGCACCTCTCGCTGGAAGAAAGCACACTTTGATAGCTTAGCCTTTAAGCCCTCATGCTGTAGCCTTCTCAGCACGACCTCCAACCTCTCAAGATGTTGATCCACAGTGGAAGAGAATACCACGATGTCATCAAGGTATAAAAGCAAAGATTGGCATTGTTGGTCCCCGAAGATCCGCTGCATCAATCTTTGGAAGGTGCCAGGAGCATTGCAGAGTCCAAAGGGCATCCGATTCCACTCAAAGAGGCCAAACGGGGTGCAAAACGCAGTTTTTGGCCGGTCTGCTTCTGCAACTGGTACCTGGTTATACCCACTGGCTAAATCCATAGTGGAAAACCAACTGGCACCGGTCAGCGCATCAAGGGACTCTTCGATTCGAGGGAGAGGAAAAGCATCTTTCCTGGTTTTGCTGTTCAGCTGCCTGTAGTCTACGCACATGCGCAGGCTGCCATCTTTCTTTTTCACTAGCACGATGGGGGATGCGTAGGGGCTGCAACTCTCTCTTATGATCTGTGACTCAAGAAGTTGGTTGATGTGCTCCTTCACTACCTCGTACTCAGACGGGGGGAATGCGCCTATAGCGTTGCTTCACGGGGACGTCATCAAGAAGAGGGATGTCATGAGAGATCAAGGTGGTGCAACCCAAGTCCCCTTCGTGAGCAGAAAAGACAGATGTGTGCTTTGTCAAAAGAGACCGTACCTTAACCTGTTCTTCAGCAGGCAAGGAAGACAGGTCCAGAGCATCCAGCTGGTCAGGCACAGAGGGAAAGGCAGCCTGGGATGCCACTCTGGCCACACTAGATGATACTTCGGTGACACCAACAGGCAAGTTAACCAGCCTAACTTGATCGAGTGTGCCTACCAGTGTGCGGGGATAGAGCAACACGTCTACGGAGCCTACGTTCACAATAGGAATATAGGCGGTGCCCCTTTCCACCCGAACCAGAGCTGGAGAGGCAAGCAAGCCAGCCGGAAGACCCGAATCCAAGGGCTCAAATAACACAGTGCCACTTGAGTACTGCTCTGAGCATGTGGCTGCAACAATCTTCATCATGCCACCAGGGATACGACAAGCCTTCCTTCCACGCACTTTTACCCCTCCTGAGACGCCAGGGGGGGGCTGCACACTGGACTGATGGCATTTTTGCAAAGCCTCAATGAATGACTGGGGGGCCTCAGATACAGGAGGTAAGGAAAACAAGGCCAACCCATGCTGTCCAAAGAGCTCTTGATAACATCTTCGAATGATGTTCATCCCCAAGATACCAGGGACTGCAGAAGAGACACCACCGGGGGGGTCCTTGACCACCAACACGCCACAGCTTGCCATTACCTTTCCACATAGCTCAATGTCCAGCTCCAAGTAGCCGATGTAAGGGATGGCTAACCCATTGGCTGCCCTGAGCTGCAGCCAGTGACAAGATTGAAGCTTCTCTTGGCCCCAGGGCTCAAAGTGCTGAAGGAAAAAGCTCTCTGTGACGGTGGACACCATGGACCCAGTATCCACCAAGCAATGAACCATAACTCCCCCCATGTTGACATCTAAATGTGGACAAGACGACATGAGCTTAAAAGCTTCTCCTGAGCCTGTGACTCCACCCCCCGAACTGTGGCTCTGTAATTCGGCGGGCGCTAGTTTTCCGATGGCTAAGTGAAACGGCGCTGCCCGCTAGACTGTTGAGCAGGTGAGGACGGTCGAGCACGAGGAGCAGCACGTACCCCATCGCACTCTCTGGCTAAATGACCGGGTAGCTGGCAACGTCTGCAAATGATGGGGCCCCTATAGGGGGGGCGACTGTGCAGCTGAGAGTCCTGGAAACGAGAAATGTTTTGAGTAAGTGTGTTAAGCTGCTCTTGCTGGAGTTTTAGCATCTCTCTCATCTCACTCAGTTCAGACACCTGGGAGCCAGTCACCACCTGAGGACCACCCTGAACTCCATACTATAGACCAAGAACTGAAGGGACAGAGTGACTTCGGCCCCTATTAGCACCAGGCAAACCCTCCCGCTCCCACCTGATTGCTTCTGCCCTGGCATCAAGTAATGCTGCAGTAGGTTGCCGACGTACAAACTGTTTTAACTCACGTCGCAATGCACCGTCAATGACATGCTCTACAAATTGGTCGCGCAGCAAAACCTCTACATTAGGCATATTGTCAGGCGCCCGCTGCTTTACAGACGACATAAGACTAAGCAACGCAAGGGAGAATTCCTGCAAAGTCTCCCCTTCTTGCTGTCGTCAGGAGAAGAAAGCCTCTTGTAAAGCTACGTAAGAATCAGAACAACCATACAGCTCTTGCAACACAGCAAGGACTTTAACAGGGTCTTCCCGCTCAGCACTTGAACGGTATTTTATCTCATCACGGGCCTCTCCTTCGAGATGGTCAAACAGGAAAAATGACTGATCGGATATCGCCAAACGGCGCGCTCTCACACAAGCCTGTATTTCCTCAATCCATTCACTCAAACCTATTCCTGATCTTCCCCTAAACATGGGACATTTCCTGTCTCGGGCACAAAAACCAGTCTCTCCGCTGAAGGGGCACTAGCATGGGAAAGAGCAGAAGTTGGCAGAGCAGCAAGGAGAGGTGCAGCATTAGGACCAGTCACCGCCGCAGCCTGTTCCTGCCACAGCCTCTCATTGTCTGCTTTTAACTGGGCAACTAAATCCCTCAATTCTTGTAACTCTTCCTCCATAGCTACACCGTTCCAAATTTAAATGGGGAGATAGGGCGACAAAATGGACAGGAAATACACGATAATAAACACTGTGACTTACCACAGGTCCACAAGAAACCAGCTGCTGTTTTGCTTCGGAACACAATATAAAACAATTATTTAAAGGCGTAAAACAATTGTTTCTTACAACCACAAAAATAAAGAACAATCGAAACACACGTCCCTGTTCAAGCAAAGAGTAGATCCTGCCGACAACGCCAGTTTGTAGCAGTGGCCGCAGAATAAATATATTAATTTAACAGTTTGGTTAAACCACTAAGTCCGACAACGCCACCCCGGGAATTTCACCCAGGGAAATGTGACAAGTTTTAAGTCACTAGGACACACAGGTTCGGTTACTCATGGAACAAGAGACGTGGTTCAATTATCAAAAATAGAACAGTTTATTTGTATACAATAGTAAAAATACAATTTATAAAAACAGTCACACAGGGCTATATCCAAAAGGTAGAACGAACAAGGGGGCTGAGGCTTACCAGTGGGGGTCAACGAATGAGTAGAGGGATCCCACAAAAACAAACTTAAGTCACCCCGGTCACACGTGTTCCACACTCACACAATCACACGGAGAAAAGATCCAAAAACCCGGGGGAAGCACAGCACACGGAAAGGGGGAAGCCACCACCTCGGACACCAATACCACCACCTTCAGCTCTCAGTAACTAAAACAGGAAAACACAATAAGTGGGGGACAAAAACACAGAATGACTCAAAATGAAATAAACCAAAATAAGCCGCAATCATGCGGCATAAACAAAACTATGCAAAAAGCAAAGAAAGAAAACCTAAACCAAAACCATTATCATATAAACAAACAATGATTTGACCAAAGATATATCGACACTAATTAAGTATAAAATAAGCCAAAAGAAAAGAAAGAAAATAACAAAAGAAAATAGGAATATAAACAAAAATAAACTATTAATGAAAAGGAACAAAGTAAACAAAATAGTTTAAATTGGTGAAGGACAGAATAACTAAACAGGAGTTAGCCCAGCAGTCCAGTCACTAAAATACCACTAGGGGAGCGGACCTCTAGTACAGAGTAGGCCACGCTAAACCGGCCCAACCACAGTAGCCAAAAGCGAACAATCTAAGTAGTGTCCAGCAGCACAGGATCGGTAGGGCAGGTGATGATACTGCCGTAGGCAATGCCAAACCGGACCAGACACGATAGCCAGACGCAGACAATCAACTAGCACTTAGCAGCACACAGGATCAGCAGTACGGGTGATGACCCTGCGCCAGAAACCTGTCTCTTTTCGGTGCAGCAAAACAGCAGCGGTTCTTTAAAGCCTTAGCTTGGCCCTAGATTAACAATAAACACACAAGTATAATATTAATGTTCAGGAAAGGTGTGGTGAATGGACTGAACAAATCGCCGTACATACCGATCAGGCAGAGAGGAGAGAGTTTCATGCTCTCTATGTTACGGCTACTTGACGGGCATCGCCAGGAAGACCCTCCGCTATACAAAACAAAACGTGACTACACGTAAGTATGATAAATTGCGAAACTTTACCTGAAGCCAACTATTCTCCTACAACATACCTACGCCGGTGGCGGAAGCAAAACACAGCAAGAACGGAAAGGGGTTGGTCTGGGCATCAGCGAACAAGAGGCCGCCAGCTAGAAGCCTCTGCTCCTTTATAGGGTGCCCCCTGGCGGTGATAGGCTAAAAATAATATGCCTTACAACACTATTTACTGCTCATCCTGCCACATAAAGAATCGGAATCGCAATTCTTGACTTGGTATCGGTATTGAAACCAAAATGTTGGTATCGTGACAACACTAGTGTATGACTCCATGTATTACTGCAGTGGTTCCCAAACTTTTTCAGTCGTGACCCCCTTGGGTATTGGAAATATTTTCGGGACCCCCCAACCCGGTTCCCATCTATATTGGTAGGATTAATTGTATATTGTTGTAAAAACATTACATTTTCTCTGCTAATAATAAGAAGATACAAAGATCCAACTATCATTTTATATTTTATTATGGATTACACATGAACAAAAGTGCTTGTAATAGATACTGTGAATTAATTTGGCCTTATTAAAACTGGTTGGCCTTCATCCCTGAGTAGTAGATTTTTAAATTCAAATTTCTTTAAGGAAAATATATTAATTAACTACTATTTCTACTGCAGGTTGCAAACGATCACATCACTTTACCATTCCTATTCCACACATAGCCTATCAATGACTTGTGTGTGCTTGCTTTCCCTTGCAGATCTTCTCAAACTGGGGCTGTTGTTTTGAGACTGCCACTCAGTTCATTCTCAATGTTCAGCTTTGATCTGTATTTCGTTTTGATGGCAGCAACAGCAGAAAAGCCTATGTTACACAAGTAGGATGTTGCAAAAGGCAGCATTATGCCCACAGCTCTCTGACCAATGAGATATTTTCGAGCAGTGTTTGTTTACAATTGAATAATAATAATAACAATACATTTGATTTATATAGGTGCACTTTAAAAACGTCATCTCAAGGTGCTTCACAAAGCTAAAAGGAGAAAATAATAAAATAAAAAAATCTTCCCGCGACCCCCCTGCAGTACCTCCGCGACCCACCAGGGGTCACGCCCCACAGTTTGAAAACCACTGTATTACTGTGTACCATGTTGTTTATCTAAGTAGCTGCAACTACTACTGTGTTCATTGGTTAGTGCTGTACCACATGATTGTGATGTCACTACCTGGGGTATAAGACCGTTGGAAGGCACGCCCCTTCTCTCTCTGTCCTCAAGTCTCTTGAGGTGTGTGCCTATAATAAATAACGCCGTGATGAATGGCTAAACTTGAACTGCTGAGATTATTTACCTTTCTGCTGCAGGAGACAAAAGGTATAAGTCTAAATCTGCTAACATTCTACAATAAAATCTTGTTTAAAATTGTGTTACGATGTCTAAAGTTACTGATAAGTCACATGTTTCCTGCCTGGCCTCAGCGTGTATCATTACCCTCTCTCGTCTGGGCGCTAAGAGAGGAGCCCTCAACCAGTGCAGCAGCAGCCACTAGCAGCTGACTGTTGCTATCTGTAAACTATGCCGCTGAAACATAATTTCAGCCAATCAGCGTCGTCAAATCTGATGATCACTGGGCGCCAATGTCAGCGCCCGGTGCAGGGTTACGGAGCGTCCACACAGCAGCGTGCGTTGACGCTTGGAGGTGGGCGTATCTGAAGCTTGGGGATTTTTTGCGAGCAACACGACCAACAACCAATCACATGAATCTCCCGCCCCCGACATACAAAGCAATAGCAATGTTAAAACGAAGTAAACTGGATATAAAATCCCCAAACAGGCGAAAACCTACCAGTTTCATCCACTGTCTCTGCCACCTCCCTCCATGCCTCGCTCCTCCGGTTTGTATCCCGGTAGATGAACAGAGACTGATCATACAGCACCGGGTGATTCACTACCGCTACAATGAATTTTCCCTCAATTTTTTTGAATATGAGGAAATGACCTGCGTAGTCTCTCCCAGCATACACGCGGTTTGATTGGCTAGCGATTGTACTGGCAGATTTGAATAAACGGGATTTCATTGGCTGACGCCTCCGTCGAGGCGTCAAAAGTTGAACATTGCTCAACTTTTGACGCCAGCAACGCTCCACGTCGCTTCCCAAAATGCAGTTCGGCTAAAAGTGACGTCACCCCATTCAAAGTGAATGGGCAGAAGCGTTGGAAGCTTCAACACACGCCGCTGTGTGGACGGGCCGTAACGGCCCGTCCACACAGCGGCGTCACTTTTAGCCGAACTGTATTTTGGGAAGCGACGTGGAGCGTTGCTG